AGCTGATGTACTGTAGTTCTGTTTAAGATGGGCTTCATTCTCCATTCCTAGAAATAGCCATTCTGCGTTTTTACAGAATTTGCCAGCACTGTGTGTGCTCAGGCAAATGAAATGAGTCTATCCAACCCTATTGGAGCTCTTGTAAGGGCAGCAATGATGCCTTTCCTCATCTACTTTTCTTTACTCCTGTCCAGGCTTGCTCATCAGTGTCACCTCAGTCCCGGGCATGCTGTCATAGTATAAGATCAACAACCAGCCAGAATGTATGGTTGCACAGCTTTGTCATTAGATGACAAGCAGACAGCGGTGCTATAATTGCTTCCCACATTCACCATGGATGAACCTCGCTGCAAATCACACAAGCATGCTTACTGTAGTGTGGCAGCCAGTTATTGGCAAGGTCGCCTCTGTTCCTTCCCAGAACCCCCCCCCAAGCAGATGAAGACAACTCCTCTTGACAGGACTCAAGACAATGCCTTCTTGTCCTTTCAATTCTGGGATTTTGGTAAGTCAGGTAAGTAAAGTTGGACTCCCCCAGTGTTTCGAAGTCTATGTCTAAGACCGTCAGCAGTAAGCTTCACCTTTGTGGCCCTCCTCACTTTATCTAGAGGGCACCTCCAAGCTAGTTTTTATCACCCCACACAAGAAATGTGTTTGAAGGCATCATGGCAGGAGTCTTTAAAGGTTAAGGCTCCCATGAGTTGTTTTTTGTATCTGCCTTAGCAAGGCAAATGAGCAATTTCACCATGGATGTTTCAGCTGCTGTGGGCTGTGTCATGGCCCTGGCCACAGGTTGGCAGGTGATTTGTCTGGTAGGCATGGCTGCCCTCAAGCAAAAAGTCAATGAAGATTTTGTGAGTGCTCTGCTGCCAATAGGGGGACTGTCTAAAGTGTTAAATCTCCCAAACTTCTCGGTGTCTGCTGAGCCACGAGGAAGAAATAGTCAATTTCAAGAGCCTTCCTCAGCTGTCCAAATATCCTTGCTCTCCCCTCAACAACCACACCACTTTATTGATCAACAAATTTTGAAGAAAACACAAAGTGAATTGTTTGATTATTAATGTATAATAAACTGAAAGCCTCATACTGAGCAAATACAATGTACTGTTCTCAGCTACCCCTAGACAATCCAGCCCTTGGTATTACACTGGGGTATTTGGAAATGAGTCAAGGGCGGGCAGCACCATGATGGACAACCCCAAGTACTCGGGCAAATTGTTGCAGTTCAGTGGTGCCCGGGCTTGCCTCTCAAAGGTTGGATCCTGACAGGGACAAACAGGTGTGAAAAGACCTGATAACAGAGCATAGTTGCAGATGCACAGCACCTGTTAAAGCTATAAGGCTAAATAAGTTTGCTTTTGATACACCTAAGTAACTAGGTTATTGTCAGCTTTCTGCAGTAACCTGATATCTGAAAAGAAGGAATCTGTTGTCCTTCACTGGGTAACAGAGCTGTATTTCTTCAGGAGATGTGTATAATTTCTAACTGACCTAATGGTTTTCTCCACATCTCCAGATCGGCTTAGCTCTGGAGACTTACTATGTGACAGTTTTACAGTATTGACAGACAATGTGCCGTACGACCTCTTCATTTTGGCGAGTGCAGGTGTACTCCTTCCTGACTGATATATTGTATAGTGGTGGGCAGTCAAAATTGAATGCAGACTGTTATGTCTGTTTGTGTCTTTTCATGAACTGAGCACAGTTAGATAGCTATGCCCATGTAAATTATAAAAGCAGTTAGACGTTGTATACTTGTTAATGATTGTTAATCAAGGCGGCTGTGGCTCAGAGGCAGAGCGGGTCGTCCCCTAATCGGAAGGTTCCAACGTTCGATCCCCGGCTCCTCCTGCCACATGTCGAAGTGTCCTTGAGCAAGATACTGAACCCCAAATTGCTTCCGATGCCGCGCATCGGCTGTGTAAATGTGTATGAAGACTGACTTGCCATCACTGAGTCAATGTGTATGAATGGGTGAATGTGGCACATAGTGTAAAAAGGCTTTGAGTGGTCGGAAGACTAGAAAGGTGCTATTACAAGTACAGGTCCATTATACATTTACCATAATGATGGAAGGAGCTTGGTAACAAGTTACCCTCCATCAATATGTACGTATTTGATAAGGATTTGTATCAATGCTACCCTACACAAGGGGATGAATTAATTAGCATGAACATAAATAAAGTCAATCTGATTTCAGTATAAAGAATGGGGTAAATTTGTGGCTAAGCCTACAGAGCCTGATTTGAATGTAATAATAAAACTAGAATTCCAAAAGAAAACTAGATTTCTGCATTTTGAATACACTTAAAAAGGCAAGTAGGATTGTGCTGAATGAAAGATGTCAAGGACATGCTACAATTTGACAACCTTCCTTCAAGAAAAGAAACATGATGTCTTTTTCTTATTTTACAAAGGCAGTCTCAGTAAGCATAGCAATCTCTGGATTCAGGTAGCATTCACAGGATATCAAGACATGTCAAGAGGGATCAATGGCATAAAAGAATACTCTTAAACATTGTGCTAGAGGCTCCTCCCTTTAAGTAGCACCTAAGGAGTAAGGCCCATGATTAC